CTCTTCTCCCTTGCCTGTCCTTCCTGAACAGTTTGTACCCGTCCATGACAGTGGTCCCATCCTGCGAGCTGTCCCACCAAGTCTGTTATTCCAATTACATCATAGCACTGTGACTGTGCAAGGACTTCTAGTTCGTCCTGCTTGTTTCCCAGGCTCCATGCATTCATGTACAGACACCTGAGGTAACTAGCTGATTGCCCTGATTTCCCAAGAAGTATGAGAGCATCTCCACAGGGAGGCTGGTTTAAAGGCTATCTATGCTGGCAGTCTGATGCCATACCCTTTGGAAAAAACCTGTACATTACTGGAGCCTGGCATTAGGCTGGTTGATTATCACTGAACTATGCTGGAGTAAATCCATGGACTTCAATAGCAGAATCCAACCCTTTCTATTGACAAGTGAGATGTTTTAAAAGTAAAGTTTGCCATCCACTGCAGTGCAGCTCTTTCTCTCCCCTGCCGCCTGCCTAACTGTGGCTGAGCCATTCTAGGAGGAGTATTACTCACAGATGGTATGACAGGGTGGGGAGGGAACTGTCTCTTCTCAACTACCCCACGCCACCTTCCTTCCAACCAGGGGCCTGTACAACACTCAGCTGTCTCTAGATCCCAGGTCGTGATGTGCATCTATATCCAGACAGCAGTATCCAGGATACCCAGAACCAGCCGAATCAACCAATTGCAGCCTCCTGGAGGCCAGCTTCGGAGACGAGCAGACCCTTTATAAGTGATCCCTCATCCATTCCATTTAAGGAAGGTAGTAGCAGCAAAGTGAGCTGGAAGGAATTGGTGAGAGGGAGAGAACAGCTAAGTGCAGACAGTTGGCTGTACAGCAGGTCCTTACTTCTAAGGTAAGTCTTTGCCTGATTTTCTTAGAATTGTACAGAGACACATTAATTGGGGCTAAGGAAGGTGAGTGGGTGCAGGTTTCATTAGAACGTATGCATCAGCTTGCTGAGGAAGAGCAAATAATTTAAATGTACATGTGCAAACCGGGATTCACAGGAGATGGTGTTGCTCACAAGCTTGTCATGATTCAGCTTTAGCTGAGAAGAGATGTCAAGGGCATCCTGCAGCTCTGTGGTTATGTGCTGAAACCAGGTGATCCTTAAGTGCTGGCTACAATTTCATCCTGGCACTTGGAGCTGAATGGAACAGCACTGCTATCCGTTGCAGTTGTAGGGGCATCAGACATGCGTCATGATTTGACATTTATTAAAGTGCCCTCCAGGTAATCGTTTTTTCAGGAAAACATTATTATTCTTCCAAAGGTTGAAATTCCTGAGGAGTTCATGAAAATCCAGGATGGCACTGGAGTACTTCAGCACGTCATTATGAGCTGAGTAACAAAGGCAGCAGTGGGGGTGAGAGTCTAGCTCTGTGGCTTGAGAGGGATGGCTCCATTACAGGGAGAGAGCACTGGGTGACAGTTCAGCACTTTTAAGTGTTTATTGCAACTGTACCACTTCTTGGGATGGGTGTAGGCCGTCTCACCTGGGAGAAAGATGAATCCTCTGGAGCTGGAAGGAGTTGTCTGTACCAACAGAGACAACCTGGGGACGGGGGTGGGAAGGGAATATTGTCGTGGGTCAGAGCACTGGTGCTTCTAGGCTCTTTTTGGCTGAGCTGGAGACTGTGAACTTGGAGATGGAGCATAAGGTATCTGAATGGGGATGGGGATCAGGAACTGGTTCAGCCCACTGGAGAGAGAGGGATATGTTACAAAATTGTTGGGGATGTTCACAGGCATGTTAATAAGATTTATGTTTCCTCTAAGCATAGGTAGACTTCTAGGGAACTGGATAGGAGCTGTGCTGGACTATATGCTAAAAGCCCTCATTCAATTTAGACTTGGGTGAAACTCCCACAGACTTTAGCACCTCCTAGGATCTGGCTATTTGTAGACATGGTAGCAGATGGGCTGAAAGTAACTGCAAACCTGTTAATATGGCCTCTTTCCACATTAAGAATCTCAACTGGGTAATACAACGGTAGTTTCATTTAAAGAACAATAGGCTGAGAAGAGGATGTTCTCTGTGATAGCCCAGAGGTGTAGAATTCACTGCCTTCCCCATCAGAAATTGTCCTAGTTTGATACCCTCAGGGCACGATTGGTTTTCCCAAACAGCAAGAGGTTGTGAGAGCTATTACCAAGGTTTAAAGATCAGAACCAGTTCTAGGCTGTGGGCTTATGATATATGTGATGTATTGGTGGGAGGGATGCTCCTGGAAAAGCCTATTTAATTGTGTTTTTAAAACGAGATGCAGAGAGCAATGGATACTCACTCCAATATACAGCTTGTAGCACTCATAGAATTTAGGAGAATTGTCCACTTATATTTTTTAACAGAATTTTCTATCCTAGGTGGCACAGGCTAGGGAAACTAACACAAAGCTGGAAGTCATGGCTCCAAAATCCTAGCTCTGGCACTGCCTAATTATGTAATTCAAACAATTCTCAGAAGGGGTAATTAGCCTGGCCATAGCGCCACACCAACAAAGCTAGACTGTTTCTGGCACTTCACTCCTAGCTCAGATATCGCCGCGTGGATATCTGAGTGTGGTAGTGCTGTGTAGACATACCCTTAGTAAGGATTTATCTTAGAAAGGTTTGCCGATCAAACTGCCCTGCTGTAGTTAAAGCAGCAAGCTTGCTGTAGCGGGCATGCAGTTAAACTTATTTAAAATATCTGCACTAGTATTTGACACATTTATACTGGTAAAAATTTGTGCGCATTAAGATTTTTACCAGTAAAATTATGCTAGAAGACATCACCCATGAACCAACACAGTAAAATTCCCCCACATAGACCAAACCTATGTAACTTACCCACTAGACTGAGTTTCTGCTTCTGCTTTTCTCCGTTTGTGAATGGTGCTGCTTAATATAAGCACTGTATACATGCAAAATGTCCCTTAGTATCCTCAGCCTGGGTAGGTACAAGCGCACACAGCAGTTTATCTACCTTTGTTTCCAAGCTGAGGAAATGCTATTAGTGCAGCACAGTTACTGTCCAAAGGTGAGGTCTGTAGTTTTCATCTGCAAGTCATTTATACCAGCCCAAAGTGATTTTTAAGGGTAACCAGAGCTGACTGCCATTCTCCCTTCTCCTTGACTATGTAGAAATAAGAGGCAAAGCAATAGAGAGCCCTGGGCCTTGTAAGTGTAGAAATAAGGGTATGTACAGGCATTTTTTAAGAAACAGACCAAGGACTGCTATTTAGTTTCATGTGTATGCTAGAGACTTTGAGTTACTTATTCATTTCCATATTGTTGGTAGGTATACCGTTGTTAGCTGTTGGTAGGTATGGAAATACCTGTTACAATCAAGGGACAAAATTATGGTAGTGTTCAGGTGAGCAGACAATACATGTTTGACCATGACATCATTGTTGACTCCCATCATTTCATGGTGAGCCTTGAAGTATTTCTTTTTTTCCTATAAAAGCCAGGACCTGGAGCAGAGCATCTCTTTTCCTTTTGATGTGCGCTCATTTTTGTGCCCTCCTATTTGTAGAGAAAAGTCTAAAAATATGCACCAAATGTAAGTGCCAGAATACTTGCTTTAAAAAAAAAATCAAGATTGGAGTTAGCATCGTGATTTTTAATCCCTCAGGAGCTGGCAAAAGTGCACCGAGTGGAGTAGTTAGTGGCTTTTAACCAGTGTGGCCACATCTCCCTGTTTCCTGGCAAGGCTCAATTTTTTGGAGTAAGAGGGAGTGTTTTTGGACTCCTGTGGTGATGTAAGCCCCTAGACATCCATCTCCTCCCTCACTAAGTTACCTTCCCTCATGGTGGTAGCAAGGGGGGAAAAAAAGTTGAACCCATGACACCTAGAGACTCAAAACAAGGAGGTGAATAACAAGAATTGATATTCCTCAATATTGTAAACCAATATTTAAGCAATCATCCTTTCTGTTAGTGGGTATAGGTCCTTCTGTTTGATTAAGCTGGTCAGACAATGACATTTCTAATAACTTTTCTAAAAGTAAGAGCATGAATATCATGAGGCCTAGAGAAACTGTGGAGTCTTCATCCTTGGGAGTTTTCAAGAACAGGTGGGACAGATGCTTGATTGGGATGGTTTAGTGAGGGATGATCTTGCCTCTAGCAGGGGGCTGCACTAGATGACCCCAGCCCTACTTACTTATGAACTCAGTGTAGGTGGGTATGGGTTTTATTGGGTGGGGACCTTGTGTTTTCCGAGCTGGTCTCAGGATCTGGGATTGCAGGGGCCAAATGAGGGGATGCCAAAACACAGTCACAGCGAGCTCTGGCTTCACACACACACCGCTCTGACTACATACACACGAGCCAACACATACACCCAGCTTTAACTTCACAGTTCACACACATATGCACACACACTCTGACTTCACCCACAGAGCTCTGACTTACACACGTGTGCACCTGCACGCACAGCTCTGACTTCACCCACACAGAGCTCTGATGTCACACACACAAACCAACACACATGCACACACAGCGCTGACTTCACGCACACAGAGCTCTGACTACATACACACA